GCCGAGTGCCGCCGGCTGCCTTGCGCTCGGAACCCCGTCCTCCGCGACCTCTTTGTTTCGTGCGCAGGGCAAAGAGGACATTCCCATGAGGGGAAACGCCTCACTCACGATACATCGCGGCCCCTTCGGGGGCTGCCCTCGCCCCGTGCCCGGGACTCCGTGCCGAGGGTCCTGAGGAACCCAAGGCGGTTCCGTGCCACACATGGGCTGAGGATTCGATCAAAAAATAACCCCTGACTTCAGAGAGAGGTCTGACGAGGTCACGCGCCAGTGGAAAGTGTCGAGGAAATTAATAGCAAGTGGATTTTTGCCTGCGGGAAGGAATTTGCAGATAGCCACTGATAATTCCGCTCCTGCGATGCCCTCCCAGCTGACGGGCATTGGTGCTCGGCAGCGCACTTTGGCTCCCCAGGCCGAGCCCTGCGCTGCCCACCCGCGTCCCGCAGCGCGGAGAGGGGCGCGGGGCCGCCCCTACGAGGCTCTACCATTGGCTCCCGCCTGATGGCGTCATCGGGGGCCCCGTGTTGCCAAAGGCGCTGATTTTCGGTTCCGTGATTTTCTGAGAATAATGGAGGTGGGGAAAAAGGGACGGAACGTTCGGGCTGGGCCCGGGCACGGCATCCCGGGAGCAGAGCGTAGAGAAGGGTCCATAGTTTCACCCTAGAGCGACTCGGCCTTGAATTGAAAACGAACAAGCAAAAAAAAAAACAAACAAGGAAAAAAAAAAGAAGAAGAGAGAAAAAAAAAAAAAAAGGGAAGACTCAAATAAATTATCATTATTAATAATATATATTTTTTAAGTTTTGCTAGGAACCGGGGCGGGGCGGGGCTGGGGGCCGTGCCCGAGGGCTCAGGCAGGTGCCAGGTTCGGATGCACACAACGCGGACCAGGATATCGGCCCGGAGCACGGGGCTGAGATGCGGAGGGACTTCGGAGTGATGAGGCACTGTGTCTGCACGACCCCAGGGGGGCAGGGGCAGCTCGGCCCGGCCCGAGGTCCGAGCCTTCTCTTGCTCTCTCCCTGGGGTCATCTCTATTCCAACATAAACTCCCTCATGCCGCTAGGAACGCGTTTTAATAATGATCGACATTGCACGGATAGAGGCAATGTGTGTATTTTACGTGTACCTCCGAGCACAGCCCCGCCCGGTGCCGGGTGCGCTGCAGAGCCGAGAGGTGCAGCGGGGCTGTTGCTGGGCAAAATCCGCTCCTGAAATAAAGACTCGACCTTAGCCCCTCTGGAAAAATAATAATAATAACACTAATAATACAAATAACACTTTAGGAAGCCTAGCACAAGGACTTTTTTCCCTCTCTCCTCCTTCTCAGTGCCGTTATAAATAGGCCACCTTCAGATCTCGGTCCGGTACGAAAGGAGCCCGCAGCTCTGAAGTGACCACGCCAGATAACTCAATGAGAAAATAAACCAGAGACGGTTTCCAAGAGCGAGGCTCTGACAAAGGGCGGGGGAGAGGGGTGAAAGGTGCCCGCGTCTCTGCAGTCCTTCCGGCGAGGTGAGCCCGCTCCTCGCACACCGCGAGGGGCTCCAGGAGGGAGCAGTGGTCCCGGAGCGGCCCCCCGACCCCCGCGGTGCCTCATCCCGGGATTCCCCCGGCGTGAGCTGGGAAAGCGGAGGAGCGCATTCCGGTCTTCTCCCCACTTACGCTGCGGCACCGGCGGGCACTGCGGCCTGCGGCCGGCCCGTGGCACACGCCGGGGTGGTTGAGTGGCAGGAGACGGGCTGGGGTCATTTTAGCAGAGGTCGCGGTGTAACATCCACCCGCCATCGCCCGCCCCTCGCCCTGCGCCTCACTCCGAGCTGTACCCGCTCCTGCACCCACGGAAAGCGAACGGCCCTCGGGAAGGATCCTGCGGGGCCGCCCCCGGCAGCCCTCTTCTTTCGGGGGTTTTGCCGAGAGGGGATCACGCACGGTCTCCGAGGAGGACGCGGCGAATGGTCCCGACACGGACCGGTCTGGGGACCGCTGCCGCTCGGAGCCGGATCGCTCCTACCTGGGCGTCCCCGTGCGGGAGGTGACCCTCGGGAGTGCCGCCTCCCAAACCAGCAGCAGTTATGCCCGATCTAAAGCACACACAAAAGCACGCTTCGTGAATAGCCCAGCGGAGCTCAGACTTTTCGGCCGCTCTTCCGCTTTTCCCTCTTGTACGTATTCTTTGTAGGGACAAAGCAGGAGATACTCGAAGGAAGAACGGTGGGATGGGGTCGCGTCCCTCCCGCCCCGCGCCACCTCTCGGAGCCCCGCACAGGGCCGTCCCGTGCGGGATGGGCGGCGGCAGGGAGAGGCGCCCGGCGGCCGAGCGTCGCGATTCTGTTCGCGGGGCTCAGCGCACAGGAATGGGGCTGGCGGGTCTTCCTCAAAAATAGCCGGGAGGGCTTCAGAGAAAACTCACCTCGGGAGAAGGAGAACTCTCGGGATAAGCGGTTTCCCGTTATTCCCCACCACCACCACTCTGCCAGGTATCGGCGTACGCCTTTTCTCTCGGTAACGATTCCCGTGGTAACCGCCCGCTCCCAGAGGCACAAATCTGCCATTAGAGAGAGGGGTTTATTGCATTCCTTTCCGCGGGCTGCGCATCAACCTCCGTCGGGACTCAATTTAGTTTTCGTTGCAGCCCGGGGCTAAGAGGGGCCGCGCAGCGCTCTCCGAACCGACCCGTCGGTAGCCCCGGAACCCGCACCCTGGAGCTGACGAAAAGATAATAATAAAAGAATATTCATTTCCATCGTTTCCCGCTCCCTCCTGGAATCTCCCCCTCTCTCATTTGTTGCTGTTATTTCAGCATCAGCTTCGCTGAACAGGAATCGCCACGGATCTGCACGGTTTCTTTCGCAGAGCGGTGTCTCCACAGCCGCACAGCCCTCACTGCCCGCACAGCCCTCACTGCCCGCACCGCCTGCACTGCCCGCACGCAGCGCGCACGGCGGCCCAGGAGGTGCTCGGGGCTCCTCCGGCTGCGGGCAGCGGGCATCGGGAGCGCCCCGCTGCCGCTCGGCTCCAGGGCTGCCTGGCAGTGGGGAAAAAACGGCGTGCGTTACGCAGCTTTGCTTTTTATTAAGTCGTGGAGAGGAAGAGAGGGAGCTGCAGTGGGGGAAAAACCGGGAGGTAAAGAGAAAAACGGAAAAACGAGGAAAGAATTAAGCAGGTAATAAAGAGAATAAGGAGGGAAAATCCTCTGGAAGCTGTCTTGGAACAGAAACCTGAGGGAGCCCGGGGCGGACGCACGGCTCTGAGAGAGAGGAATGATTCGGGACCAAGCGCGGGTGGCGCGGGGGGAGCCCCGTTCTCTCAAGGGCAGCGCCGAGCGGTGACCCCCCGGCTCGCTCCGTCCCCTCGGCTGCTGCCTCCCCACAAACACCCCGGGGGAGGCGGTTGCCTCAGCCCGCCGGCCCCCCGAGCCGCCCCCCGCTCCCCCAAATACATACAAAGAGATGAAAGCCGAGGGGCTGCCCCTCTCCGCGCTGGGAAATGAGCTGGGGGCAGCGGGGGGACACGCGGGCTGGGCTCGGGGGGGACTGCTGGGGACAGGGAACCGCCGGAGCCCCCGATCCCAAAGGAGTTAAGGGCCTTCTTCTCCTTCCTTTCCTTTTTTCCTGTCTTTTTTTCTTTCTTTTTCTTTTTTCTTTTTTCCCTTTTTTTTTTCCTTTTTTTTCTTTTTTTTTTTTTTTTTT